ATGGATTAAGTGTTCTGCTTACAATCAAGGGGAACAAGGGAATAACAAAATGATTGTGCATCTCTTGGAGGTATAAGGGTATTTAAAAATGAAAATCTGAAATAAAAGCAAGATAAACTCTTAAATCTGGGTCTGCTTATATGAATGCCTTACACTGCCACATTAGATGTTTAACCTTTGCTTTAGGATTAAAAAAATGTAAAATCTATAATTATTTAGTTTCATTTCATTTTTTTTCTTTCTACCATTATTTTAAAAATTTTTTATTAGTATCACAATATCACAAACTGCATATAATACTTGATACTTGTCACTTGAAAGGAGAAAAAAATGATATTAATCAACGAGACAAATTTAGTTTTTCTATTTGGTGGTACATTGCAAAATATAATAAGAGCTGCTTTGAACACCTGACCAGGGTTGCCAAATTTGCTGTTTTTCTTATGAAAATGAGCTACTTTTATTTATTTTATTCCCTCACAGGTTAAATGTCTAAATTATATTTGACAGAAATGCCTGTATTTATATTCAACCAATGATAAAACTGTACTGGATGATGAGACATAGTAACGAGATTTTTGTGAAGGAGGGGTGCTGGTAGGGAGCCTGACTGTTTTCATTTCCATGGAAACAGTTTGACTGGTCTCTACTGGATTGCTGCTTGCTATTAAAAAAGTATGACGTCATCTACAGACACTTCTATAAAAAAACCTGTTAGGAATATCTTGAAGTTTTAATTTTAGATCGTAATCTAATAGTTCATTTTCAAATAGTTCTAAAATAAAAGAATACCACTCCCACCAAAGGAATTTGTTCACCAGCTGTCAAGATATTATAAATGAAAACAGACTGTATACAACTACACACAAGTTGAAATTGTGTGTAATGCATGACAAGATAATATGCATTTTACGGAATGTCATAGTTTAAGTTTTTGTATTTAGAATGGTTTAATTGGTTGATTTTTAATATGCAGATCTGGCAGCCCTGCAAATGTCATCTAGTAAAGCTGTATAGCCTTAGATTTGAAATATGTTGAGATTAAAGAATTACTGTATTCCTGTGTGCCATGCAAGTCTTCTGATATCATACACAAGTTGTAAATAAAACTACTATTTCAGTTTTTCTACTTCAAAAGTTCATGTTTAATTCAATGTTACTTGCAGTTTCTTTGTAACTGATATTTACTAGTAATTTCTGTTCAAATCATTTCTAAACCAATTTTCAAGCTATTTTTATTTGGGG